TTTAGCTGTATTTTTAGTGATTTTGGAAAATAATAAAAAAGATATTTTAAAAAACCATGCCGGCGGTGGGGATACACTTAATCAATAAGGGTACCTAATCTCAAACCAGGTGAAGTGGGGACCAAAGTGATGCCCAAACTTTACCTGTACAATAACCATTTGTATACCTAACCCTGAATTGTACCCATTTTTAAAATTAAAAATTAGAAAAAAAATTCACTAAAGTAGAAGGATATCCTATTCAGTTATGTTGCTTGTTTTTATATTGCTTTAATTAATTTATTTTTTTCAAAGTTTGCTTTTTTAAAGGGGTAATAGAGTTTTCCAGAGCATGTACAAAGTTCATTACTTTATACTTTCAACATTCATTGAAGTGTAGTGTCTTGCAATTTGTGAATTTGGTATTTTAGGGAGGAGGTGGCAGCAACAAGAAACTGGAAAATTGTCAATTTAAAGTGTCATTGCCACAGACTATGATATTGACCACCCGAAATTAATCTATTTTCTTAATGAACTGCTTGCAGTTTTTCCCATTTTTGTGTACTTTAATATTTAATCGTCCCTCTCATGTACAATTTATATCCTCTGAAAAACACATATTTCCATTTATGGCAATACTGAGAGATATATGGAATGTGTTTTCGGCCAGATAACCTTAAAATTGCCTGCTAGCAAACTTTTATTTTAATTATTTTTCACTCTGATTAGCATATGAGCATATGCTGTTTAAATATTAAGTGACAAGGAAATGAACACCAATTTGTCTCTTTTTTATATGTTATTTTAGTGCTGCATTAAAATTTAGGAATCTAGCTAACTATCCCCAAGTGTCATCCTCAAAAGATCTGTCATTAACATTTAATAATATACTGTCTCTGCTTTTTATGATATAGCTGGCAAGTGTAGTCATGAATTTATTTGTATTTAGGACATTGCTTCTTATCTTCAAACTGCACATTTTGTCACTAATATGAATATCATGACCCACAGAATATTTTTATCTTTTAAAAATATTGCTAAATGTAATTATTTGTTTTTTTTTTTCATCCGCTGAATTTTCAATATTTAGTGATTTGGATTCTATTATTCCTTTTAGAAATAAAATGGGCTTGAATATAGGCCCAAATTTCAAAGAAATTCTTATTTTTTGTGAATAATTTAAAGATATTTTAGGCCAGGCTCGGTGGCTCAGCCTGTAATCCCAACGCTTTGGGAGGCCGCGGTGAGTGCATTGCCTAAGCACGCGGGTTTGAGACCCGCCTGAGCAACTTGGTGAGACCACATCTCTACAATAAATCAAAAATTAGCCGGGCATGGTAGCGCGCGGCTGTAGTTTCAGCTACTTGGAAGGCTGAGGCGAAGGATCGCCAGAGCCCAGCAGGCAAGGGTGCAGTGGCACTTCAATCTGGGCGACAGAGTGAGACTCCAACGCAAAAAAAAAAAAAAAAAAAAAAATTAAATAAAATGTTTAATCTTTATGCCTTTTTTTTAAATTTCAAAATTTTGGATGAAAACATTTATAGACATTTACATTAAAAGAGTACAAGTTCAGGTTACAATAAAGCCACTGATTATAATAAGCTGTAAGATTCATATCTTAAGATAACCTTTAAAATATGCAGAGTTCTGAAAAATAAAGAAATGCTAAAACTACAATCTTATTTTATTTGTCATTTTATTCAAGGATTCATTAATTTTTTTTCCAGTAACACTTTTTATGAGGTCCAGGATTTCATTGTTGCTATTAATATTGTTTGTATGTTTGCATATTGTAGCATATATTTTGTAATAAATTGTGATATATCTCATCAGAAGTCAATACAGCAACTAGAATAATAATATTACTTACTGGCAACTGAATACTTGCTATGTTTCAAGTGCTTGGTGATTTATACCCATCATACCGTTTAGTAATCAAACAGGTCTATAGTACTGTTATTGTTATTTTCGTACAGCAGAAGACTCTGAAGAGCCTATCTTAATGTTCCTTAATATTCTGGCTCTGCTTGATTTATAATACTTTTAAAAATTATTTTTATCATTTAAGTATTGTAATACAATGTAACACATGTTCCAAATAATCTTGATTATTACTCAGCAAGACGGAGACTAATCATTTTACATATGTTACAAATGTTACTTATTGTAGCTGTCACAAAAATCTGGTGCTAATATAATTCCAGTAAGCAGGATAGCTACATTGGTGGAATGAGTAGAAGTCTGAACATCAATTTTTCCCAGATCTGAGTTTTCAACTCCAGCACATTCTGTCATCCAAATATGGTGCCTTGCATTTATCCACTGCTACAAACCCCATAGCTTTTTGGTTTTTTTTCTGTCCTTTGCAATTTCTCAAATCTTTCACATTTTCAAAACATATTTTTTACCATTTATTCTCATTTTGTATCAAAACAAATAACATAACACAAAATAGCATAACATATAATAAGGAAATGTTTATAACACTGTAAATGTTATCGTGTAAAATATTATGGAAATTAACACTTCATTTTAGAATTAGATTCGCAATTATTAATATTTTAATGGACCAACTTAGTTTTTTAAAATTATATGTTCAGGTAGCACATGTGCAGGTTTGTTATGGAGCCTCCTTTTTTGAAGCCCCCAGGGTTTATTATTTCCATCTTAATGTCCATGTGTACCCGTTGTTTAACTCACATTTATCAGGGACAACATGCAGTACTCGATTATCTGTTTCTGAGTTATTTCACTCAGGATAACAGCCACCAGGTTCATCTGTGTTGCTACAACAGAGATAATTTCATTTTGTTAAATGAGTACATGGTATTCCATTGTGTTTATATACCACTTTTTTCATCCAGTCATTAATTGATGGGCACTTAGGTTGATTCCAATACTTTGCTGCTGTGAATAGTGCTGTGATAAACATGTGAGTGCTGGTGTCTTTTTAATATAATTATTTATTTTTTGGGGGGTAGATAATAGTGAGATTGCTGGGTCAAGGGGTAGTTCTGTTTTTAGTTATTTGAGAAATAACTATACTGTTTTCCAAAAAGGTTGTACTAGTTTACATTCCTACCAACAGTTTATAAGCGTCTTTTTCTCTGCATCCTTGTCAGCATCTATTATCTTCTGATTTGTGATAATAGCCATTCTGACTGGTATGAGATGGTGTCTCATTGTGATTTTCATTTGCATTTCTCTGATTGGTGATGTTGAGTATTTTTCATATTTTTTTTGCCATTTGTATGTCTTCTTTTAAGACACATTTGTTCATATCCTTTGTCCACTTTTTAATAGCCTTATTTGCTTTTTTCTTGTTTGAGTTCTGTTGATTCTAGATATTGATCTTTTGTTGGATTCATGTTACAAATATGTTCTCACATTCAGTAAGTTTTCTGTTACTCTGTTGACAGTTTCTTTTGTTGTGCAGAAGCTGTTTAGTTTAACTAAGTTTCATTTGTCTATATTTGTTTTGACTGTCTTTGCTTTTGAGGCCTTAGTCATAATTTCTTTGCCTAAGACAATATTCAGAAGAGTTTTTCCTAGATTTTCTTTTAGAATTTTTATAGTTATAGGTGTTGATTTTAATTCTTTAATTCATATTTAGTTATTTTTTGTACATGCTTAGAGATAGAAGTCAAGTTTTATTTTTCTGCATTTGGCTATCCAATTTTTCCAGCACTATTTATTGAGTAGAGTGTTCTTTCCTTGCTGCTTATTTTCACTGACTTTGTTGAAGATCAATTGGTTTTAAGTATGTGGCTTTATTTCTGGCTTCTCTATTCTGTTCCATTGGTCTACGTGTCTATTTTTGTACCAATACTGTACTGTTTTGACTGCTATAGCCTTGTAGTATAATTTGAAGTCAAGTAATGTAATGTGATGCCTCCAAATTTGTTTTTGTTTTGCTTTGTTTTTGCTTAGAATTGCTTTGACTATTCAGGCTCTTTTTTTGGTTCCATAGGAACTTTGGGATTTTGTTTCCTAATTCTGCAAAAAGTGACGTTGGTAATTTGATAAGAATTGCATTGAATCTCTAAATTGCTTTGGGCAGTATGGTCATTGTAACAGTATTCATTCTTTCAATCCATGAGCATGGGATGTTTTCTCCATTTGTTTGTGTTGCTTATGATTTTTTCATCTGTGTTTTGTAGTTCTCTTTTGTAGAGATCTTTTGCCTCCATGGTTAAATAAATTACTAGGTATTTTTTTTTGTGGCTACTGCAAATGGGATTGAGTTCTTGACTTGATCCTCAGTTTGAATGTCATTGATGTATAGAACTGCTACTGATTTTTGTACATTGATTTTTATCCTGAAACATTACTGAAGGTATTTATTAAGCCTAGGAGTCCTTTAGGTTTTCTAAGTGTAAGATTATGTCATTCACAGAGACAAGTTGACTCCCTCTTTTCCAATTGGATACCTTTTGTTTCGTTCTTTTTCCCAATTGCTCTGAAAAGCACTTTCAGTACTTTGTTAACTAGCAGTAGTGAGAGTGGGCATTTTCATCTTGGTCCAGTAGGAGGAATGCTTTCAGCTTTTTCCCATTTAGTATAATGCTGCCAATGGGTTTGTCATATAGAGCTTTCACTACTGTATGTTCCTTCGATTTCTAGTTTATTGAGAATTTTTATCATGAAGGAACATTGGGTTTTATAGAATTCTTTTTCTGCATCTAAAGAGAAGATCTTATGTGTATGTGATGAGTCATGTTTATTGATTTGCATATGTTAAAACCATGCTTGCATTTGGTGGGTCAATGCTCTAATGGTATAAAACACATTTTACCTTTCAGAGGTATTCTTTTGCTGCGTAACTTTTGGAATTAAAAAAATATGTATTACAAAGTAAATTATAATCTAAAAACAAGTTAGAATTGAAAATGCTTGATTTATTTGAAACCAAGATCATTTTTTATTACATATTCGTCTTTTAGAGTTTACCTTGAGAAGGCAAATCGTTCTTTCTTTATACTTACTTTTTGTTTCAAAAACACGTTTATTATTTTACTCAGATGTCTTCTGGTCTCCATCCTGGATCCACTCTGATTCCCATGAATACCATTTCTGTGCCGCATGGAGAGGATGATTACGGGTATCAATGCTTGGAGGGTAAAGATTGTGCCAGTTTCTTCTGTTGCTTTGAAGACTGCAGAACAGGATCTTGGAGGGAAGGAAGGATACACATACGCATTGCCAAAATTGACTCTTACTCTAGAATATTTTTCCCAACAGCTTTTGCCCTGTTCAATCTGGTTTATTGGGTTGGTTATCTGTATTTATAAATTCCATTTCCTAGGCAAAAATTGTAAGTCTGGCTAAATTCAATATAATCTTTTGTACTTCAGTAACATGAAGTTTAATTTTTAAATGCAGAGAAATCAATGGTTAAAAATGTGAATAGTACTGCAACTATTTTAAGGTCTTCATCAGTAAATAAAGTAGCAGCTTTTAGGTTAATTTATATGACACTGATTAGTTGCAAAAACTGGTATATTAAAAATAGTGTTATATATTTTTACTTAAAATATTTTTAATTTACTTATATCATTATGATTTTAAATTGGTGATTTCTACAACTCATATTTTGAAGATGGGATGATTTAAATACATATTTTCTTTAAACATGATCTATCATTTTTGCAATGAGAGATGATTTGTAATTTGATTTTTTCTTTTTATTTGTATGCCTTATTTGAAGTACAGTTAGTCAAAAACATAAAGTTATGGTTTTCTGGGATTTATTTTCAAGATGCTTTACTCCCAAAAAGAAATGGACTCATTTGTAAATTATCAATTACACAAAATTTATGAAAATTTTACCTATCTTTTAATCCAATC